TCCAGATCCTACCCATTACCCCTCATCCTATCACTATAGGCTCTTGTAAAAAAGTCCCTCCCCAGCCTCCCTATAGGCCCCCTTCAGGTACTGGAAGGTCGCTATGAGGTCTCCCTGGAGCCTTCTCTTTTCTAGGCTGAACAAGCCAAACTATCTCATCCTGTCCTCATAGGAGAGGTGCTCCAGCCCTCTGACCATCTTGGTAGCCCTCCTCTGGACTCGCATCCTAGATGTTTCCTCAGGCAAAATTTTTGTACTGTACTTTTTTGTTCATTTGATGCTGCATTATTATGAAATTATTATGAATTTCACTAATATTTCTGATATACACATATTTATGCAAATATTTTTTTATGGACGTTTTCAAACAACTCCTTATTTCAGGGCCAAGATTTCCACTTTTTGATTAACACTGTGCTTTAAAATCTGCTTTACTAATTCCAAGCCATATTAGATGCCTCCTGATACGTTGCTATTCTACCATTCCAACAGTATTCCAGTTACAATAAACAGATTGTTTTAAGGTGATCATTTCAGTAGAAATGCAGTCTTATACATAGCATGCAGTTCCTTTATCTAACTATTTAATTCCGTTTAAGTAAAATTATGAGAAATGTAGACTGAACACCTACAGAAGTCCTGTGTTACAAACACAGCATATGAAGTAGCTTATGAACACATTTATACTGATCATTCATTTAAAGCAAAGCAGTCTTTTTCTTTCACAATTTTATGTGTTTATTCATAGTGTCAATACCTCATTCTTAGTAGTAACATAAAAATACTGATACAAAAATCTTGTGTCTATAAAGCTGTATTTCTTCAACTGTGTTTAAGTAAGCACCATATAGTTACGGGTTTCGGAAATAAGTTTCCATGTATTTTTTTGACAATTTTTTAGCTGATATTTTGGAGACTGATTATTTCATCTATGCTTACAGTTTGAATTTTCTCTCTCTCTTACTTTCTTGCTCCTTTCTGTTCAGAAGTGAAAAACAAGAAATGAATATTCATGATAGAGAATGCTCCATGAACGTATTGTAGCCTCTAAGTATTGATTGCCTTTTGCTACACCCTTAATATGTCAAAATGAAAATGGGCTCTTTTTTTTTCTTTTTTAAAAAAAGGCACAGTAGATTGATTTGTCGATTTAGTTTTGTTTCAAAATATGTAAACAGGACCCAAATGAAGATACTGAATGGCATGACATACTGAGACATTTTAGAATTCTTCCTCCAAAAGAAAAAACAAAAGATGAAACAGAAGAAATGGGTTTACACCTGCAGAAAGAAGCAGAAGGCAAGTAAAAATAAAATTACATGCCATTAGCATACTAACACTCGAAAAGTGGAGGCGTTTTCAGTATTGCTTTTTGTAACTTAAAAAATATCTTTTTTATTTTAATTATTTTCATCTTGTTATTTTGAAAAGAATTGTGAATTAAACATACAAGACAATTATGGACAAACATTATGGCATGCAACATGTACACATAGCTAATTTTCATAATTTCCTAAAGGAATCAGTCAGTATAAGCAAGATTCACATTCTGAACAATTGGTAGTAGTCCATACCTGTATTTCTGTATTTTCCTATATAGCTATAGTTAAATAAATGTCTTTTTTTTTTCCCCTCTCTCATTCAGAGTTACGCCAAAGTTGACTTCTGAAATGGGTACATTGTTTTCTTTCTGTCTATGTAATACTTTAAATACATTTAAAATACTTGCAGACATTTTGGAGAGCAAAAGGTCACTATTTTTTTATATCTAGTGAATCCATATGAAAGAATGAGTCTTGAAGAACTGAAGGAAGCTGAATATGACTTTGATGAGGCTGATAGGAAAGCTCTTGAAATGTACAGGTATGCTAAGACACTTCTACCTAGACTAATAGGGCACGTGTCACTATTGTGTGTGTACAGACTCCTGAAAAATAAACTTGGAATCTTTTGAACAGCAATGTCTGCTGTTTGATAAACTGCTTTTTTTCACTTTCTGCTCCTTCTTCAGCAGATAGACAGCACTCACATTACTATCATACTTCTTCCTGACTGCCAGTGACAGAGAGAAGATGTTTACACCATATTTTACTCCGACATTTTGTTAGAAAAAAAATACTCCCCTTCTGAAGTACTTAATTTAGTCTTAAAGTTGGATATTTAAAAGAAAAAGAATAGAAGAGGTCACAGTAGAAATCCTCAGTTCAGCTGAAGATACAATGTGCTACTGTATTTTTAGAGGCGTTGTACATTCAAAGTGTTGTATACTCAACGTGTACCTAAGTACACAGGCAAATTTCATTTGTTGTTTGCCTGATTAAATTGTACCACTCACTCCGCCACTCCAAAGACACTCTCTGCTAGTCTTCACAGGTTAGAGCAATGATGCTAAATATTCAAAGAAGGGAGGAGTTGTGTATCCCACGTTCTCTCTTCTCTTCTGGATAGTATTTTCTGTGGATTTCAAGCCAGGAGGAAATGGACAGTTGGTTACAGGCATCCCTTTTCTGTCATGTCGCAAAAGAACATTAGGAAAAAGAAGGTCCCAACACACATGACCCCAGCTCTGAGAAAGACACTGACTTTGTGCGTACGAAGCATGTGCCACCTATATTAGGATAGCTTGCCATTAAAGAAAAAATCAATGCTGCAATCAAACTGATTGGCATTTTTAATTAATAATTAAATAACGAATCTGAGTATTAGGAACAAAATACATAGAATCATAGAATGTTTTGGGTTGGAAGGGCCCTTTAAAGGTCACCTAGTCCAACTCCCCTGCAGTGAGCAGGGACATCTCTGCCTTTGGGAGAGTCTCATTTCTGGTACAGTTGGCTTTCTAAATATGTTATTGAAATAAAAATGCGATGTAAAATTTATTATGAATTACAGTTTTGCTGTATCATACACTGCAGCTTCTGAGATGGATTGGTGGTGGCTGATAACTTACGTGCTTTTGAAAAATGTTTATTATTTTTATGAAGTCAACTGTGGACTCCTGTTGTGTTTGGTTTGCTTCTTATCCAAGATTAATTTTAATGGCTTTTCTTACTTTAGTAAAATATTAATTTGAATTTTATATTGAAGGAAGGCTCAGGGGAGATCTAATCAGTATCTATAAATATCTGAAAGGAGGGTGTAAAGCAGACAGAGCCAGGGTGTTTCCAGTGGTGCCCAGTGACAGGACCAGAAGCACAAACTGAAACACGGGAGGTTCCTTTTTTACCATGAGGGTGACTGAGCACTGATGTAGGTTGGCCAGAGCAGTTGCAGAGTCTCCGTTCTTGGAGATGTTCAGAAGCCACCTGGACACACTCCTGGGCAGCCTCCTGAAGGGTGACCCTGTTTGAGCAGGGGAGTTAAGTCATATGACCTCCAGGAGTCCCCTCCAACAACCTCAGTCATGCAGTGGTTGTGTAATTTTGTGACACACCATACACCGATCTTAGGCATAACGAAGGCACAACCTGATTAAATCAACTATTTAACAGGTGTTCCACCAACTATTTTACTTACAGTACCATGCATAGTCAATAATTCTAGTGCTAAAACTGGGTGTATATCTCTATCTTCTCACTGTAAGACAATAATTCACATAATTACGTGTATGTTGTGAAATTAAATTACGCATTGTTGCCAGAATATAAAAACATTGCACATATATTATTTAATCTTTTTTTTTTCAAAAAAGCCACTTCTATAGTGGCTTTCAGTTAGTGAAATTAATAGCTACTTTTATTCCACAAATCTCAGTGAGGTATTTTGCTTTTCTGCTTTGCAACTATTTTTGTAGATGACTGCCATCTACTGGTTTTATATTCCAATTTTCATGAATTATTTTTAAATTGTCACATAAATACTAGTACAAGTACGGGTAGTTCTTCCTCAAACTAATCTCGTTTTCAGCAACATAAAACCAACCAGTACCTGCTTTAATTTTTCTTGCTTTTTCTCAAATGATAAACCATTGTACAACATGTTTTTACTCAAATTTCCAATTCTGATACTGATGAACATAAAACTAAGAAAATGTATTTTAATATTAGTGAACAAAGTGTAGCATCAAAACCTTTCTAGCTCTGAAATTATGTTTGAAGACCTGGAGCTAAAGTGTTACTCAAAGCATTTTTTAAAGAAATTGAGAGAAGTGGACTGGATATTAATTCTAAAATGCATTTAAAATGTTCCAAAGATGCTTATTTTTCTTATTTTTTTTTAATCAGGCAGCAACGCATGCAAGAATGGAAATGTCTTCAGAGGAGGCAAAAATATGGGGAGCTAAGAGAAATTAGTGGTGAGCAGTATGTAAAGGAAGTTACAAATGCTCCGGAGGATGTTTGGGTTATAATACATCTTTATCGGTCAAGGTAATTACTTTCTTAACATTTTGAATACCTCAGTACAGAGAACTGAACTGGTAATTAAAAACAAATACCAAGAAAAATTAAATACAAGAGACTAAATTAAATTCAATAGACTAAATACAATAGACTAACTAACTGTTAGGAGGCAATGGAATGGCAGAGCATGCGACCTCCTTGATCTGTCAATTCCCTTTGTGAGAGTCAATCGCTTTTGTCCAGTTACATGAAAGATTTGGTTTGCTGTGAGTGCTTATCACCATCTACTGAATCTCACTGAGATTTCTGAATTTCACTGAGAAACTGGTGTCCACCATCTGTGTTAAGCGTTACATGTTAAGTGTTAAAGTGTGAAGTGTCCACTGTCTGTGTTCACTTGGAGACTCTTATTGGCAGGAGCGCTCCAACAGAATTATTCTAACTTTTCTTGCTTTTCCTTGGTTTTGTTTACCGAGGAACCAGTTCTATGCTTTATCACTGCATAAATACGAGTCTCTGAGGGAACTCGCAATTTCTTAGGAATCAATATCGGATCTTCGAAGTCTCATTGTAGGAATAAATCCTGCTTTTCCAAAACTGCCTCACAGATCTTCGGCCAGCAGAGGGTACTGATGGAACTCGTCGAAGGTCCGTAGGTTAAATCAGCTTCTTGAACTTGAGTCAGTTATGAGAGAGATCTTAACTTCCAAAACATTAACGGGCTGGAGAGGAACAAAAAAAACCAAACCCACATATTGTTTTTCTATTGTGTTTTTTTTAAGCCGAGATTTACATGGTGATTATATTGTAAATAGTAGCTAGGAAAGTAATGAACAGGCCTGTGGTTGTAATATCACTACACAAAGGTTACCCTGACGTTACTTGGATTTTACAAAAAGAATTAAGAATTAATTAAGGGTTAAACTGAAAGTCAGTTCAAATAAATTTAAACAAAATGTACATCAGATTTAAAAATCTCATTTAAACTCTACAATAAATGGGCAAATGGAGCTTTAAAATCCTAGAGGACAACAAAATCGAGGCACAATGCTTGAAGTATCTGGAAGCTCTACTGACATTTTATAGACTGTGCCAATTCTGTGCACGTTGAAAATTTTTACCTGGACACCTCTTTAAATTCCAATGATCTTAGAAGCAGCTAAATAAAACTCACGGTGCAATTCTCATGTTAAACTGAAGTAGAAGCAGACTAAATGAAAAAGTTTATTCTTCAATGGCTTTATTTTCAATAGCTTTAGTTACATTACAAATCATTTACACCGGAAGTGTCATCATACTTTCTTATTCTTTTTTAGCATCCCAGCGTGTTTACTCGTTAATGAACATCTCAGCCTTTTAGCCAGGAAGTTTCCAGAAGCTTTTTAGCATCCCAGCGTGTTTACTCGTTAATAAACATCTCAGCCTGCTAGCCAGGAAGTTTCCAGAAGTCAAGTTTCTCAAAGCCATTGTAAACAGCTGCATTCAGAATTACCATGACAGCTGTTTACCCACAATACTTGTGTACAAAACTGGTGAAATAAAAGGCAGGTTCGTTGGAGTAACTGAATGTGGAGGAATAGGTCTTAAAGTGGAAGGTATGAGAAATACTTTGAAACAGTTCATGTTACAGAAAATTTCCTGTTGTTTGTAATAATTAGATCTAAAGATCGCTGCCTAAAAGGTGGAAAAGGTTTTTTTACTGTTTTTGTAGGAAGAAATAAGTTTACAGAATGCAAAGAATTAACTTATGTAATTCTGTAGTAAGAATATTGGATAAACGTGGATAATTTGCGATTTCATGGTTAGCTATTTTGCCGAGATCAAGCTGAGTTGTCACACGGCTGGCACTATTTTTTGTTGTTGAGATGGAGCTTGGTCTTTAACAGAAGACTTTTTCCTCTTAAGTGAAAATTTATTACCATTATCAGAATAAACTGTAATTTGTTTTTACAGAGCTCGAATGGAAACTAGCTGAAGTTGGAGTTATAGAAACTGACTTAGAAGAAAATCCCAAAAAGGACATTATGAATATGATGACACTGTCAGTATGAAATATTTCTGCTCGGAAAGACACCAATGCAAAAAGCAGCGATGTGATGAAACCATGTATTACTTCAGAAAATTTTTATGCAGATCAACAGTTCTGATATAAATTAGCTCAAATACATTATTTTACTCCCTTGTTAAGCCTGAAGGACTTATTAAAGAAAAAAAAAAAGGCTTCTCTTTCACTTGTATATTTTTGGGGTTGTTTTGTGGAAGAAAATAGACACAGTAAATGAAAGCTGTATCTACCCTGAGATACATACAGATGGCTGTCATTGACACCGAGTCTGGATTCTCCATTTCATGCAAACTCTGCTTAAATGGAATGGGAAGAGGAGGATATTAGCTGGTGGACTCTAATCCACATTTTCTTCCTCCTTTTATCCAGCATGGGTGCAAGATACTCTTTCAATTCTCCATGAAATCACTGTGGTGGAACTGCCAAGAACTTCTTCAGTTCCCTCCAAAGACACTAACCCAAAGACGACGACACGTAAAGTGATATAAAATCTGGATTTGGCCTTGAATCAATTGACGAACAGTTTTGTTTGTTCAACGGGTGTTCAAGAATTTTCTTCAGTGTCAAAGATAGCCTTCCCACTCTTTTTAGAATACTGACAGTTGGATCAGTTGTTCCTTCCTAACAAAAATAAGTGCATCCTTAACAAAATAGTTTGCACTACAACTATAGGTAGGCAAAACTGCCCCAGTGAATGAAGAGACCATGCTCCCGATACAGTAGTGAACCAAATTATGTAGTATTAATGTTATTTTCCCAGTGATTTATCAAAAAAAAATCTCAATATTCTAATGAATACTTAGTTACATACATTCAATATGGTTTATAGCATCAGGATGCAGAAAGAAAAATGAAACGAACCCAGTCCACTTAACACTTGACACATAGATACCCAAGAAGACCAAGAAAATTAACATTAGCCTTTTTTTTTTAACTCACTAGGATACAGCTGTGCTGTAGTAGTAGCTACTTACTGGCAGATACCACTTCTAGAAACCTTTTATTTTGCAGATTCAAAGAGATAACTCATAGGTGCATTTCAGAGATAATGGCTTATCTGCTGCCAACGAGAAAGCCAACTAGTAGTTTTAAATGTAAATAGGTCATCAGTGACTTTAGAGATGATTCCATAGTCATGTCAGGTGCTACAAATGGAGTACTACCACTTGCTTCCTCTTAGCACTGCGCCTCCCTCCTGTGACCACGGCAGCTGGGAGGTCCGCAAGCACAAGTACATGACTGTGCAAAAGTGATGGTCAGCACACTGGAAGGAACAGGAATATGCCACTAGACATGCCAGGAAAGGACCAAATTTCCCCTCTGGTGACCCTTATTTCATCCAAGTGACCACGTGATCATGATTTCAGCCACAGCAGCGAAACCCAAGGGAACTGGCAGGTTAAAAGCAGGTACTTCTGGTTCGTGGTCAGTTACATCGTAAGAAGGAAAAGGGTCTAGTAATAAAAGTTAGTCGACCTTGTTTTGCAAAGATTATGTAGATTGCAACAGGTTTTCAAAGTCAGCTTCCTCAAACAGATCCTCTCTCAAATATCCCAGTGAGGAGCAAAAAGGAACATTCTGAGCAGACGATTGTTCTACGGCTTGAAAGTATATCATGCACAAGGTGGCGATGACAGTATTGTAGGAAATGCAGCTATACTTAATGGAAAAGCACTGAAAATCTGCATTTCTAGCCCAATCTATTCAACAACTCTCACAAGATTTGCTGCTTGTAATTTGGCAAAGTTCGAAAATTAATGTTGGCTCTCATGTAACCAGAGTGAAACAAAACTATGATTACACAGCACAGCAAACTCACACTGACAGTAAGAGCCAGAAAAACAGTATTTCTATGTGAAGAATAGTTTCATAAAACCACCACACCATTTTGAAGCTTTCTATCCTGTTTATTCAGGAGCCTTTAAAATACTTTCAAAGAAGCATTAAAAGAAAATAAAATTACCTTGGTTAGGCCATAACCTTGGCAGAAAATGCAAATGCACGCGATTCCACAGCTATGGTGCCCATGTTGACCTTGTCAAATCCCAAAATATAAGATATGCAAGCCACAAAGAGTAATTTGCTAGTGCAAGGAGTAGGTCTTACATTCCCACATATGCAAGATGTGAAGAGAGACACAGTGTCACAACTTTGTTTTTCTGAAGGATTACCACTGGTTACTAAGATCAGGTGGCAAATTTGATGCATAGAGCTTGATGCTATTTTCAGCCTCACAGTTTCTTCGCCATATTCTAGTTCTGTGCTTACGCATTTTTGTTGACAATCTTCCTGCATTTTCTCCTGGATTTTACATTCTTGCTGTATCCTATTATCTTTGCAGCATTTCAACATAGGAGCATTATCCTTTGCATGAGTAATGAAATTATTAGTTTTATTTATATCACATTTCTCTCAACTGAAAGCTAGAAATAGAGTAGTATGAATCAGTAAGTAACAAAAATAAGGCTTTTCACTAATGCTTTTTAAAATTCTTCCAGTGGAAAAACTGAGCTCGTGGCTAGCTCTTTAGAAGCATTACTGCTAAAGAGGTTCCTCTCCTTACAATACATTTGCGTAAGACTTTGGTCAAAAGGTGAATCAAACAGGAAACTGATGTACCTGAAAAGTAATCCAAAAAGAAAAATCCATTAGAGTTTTGCAGCCCATTTCCTTACTTCATTCCAGACACAACCACTAATTAAGCTTCTCTAGATACATATTTTTAATTATGCTTTTAGATATATTGCTGTTTGGGAGACCAACTGGAAAACAAACATCCTTGTAACCAAGAAAGAAAACTGTGACTGTTTACATACTATTACCACTGAGCAATATTTTATTTTACAGAAAACGGCTTGCAGCCGTGTCATGCTGCAGCCGTGGCCTGCTGAATGCAGAACAGGTTTAAGCTAACATAATCACTGCACATTTAAGCATACCCCAGTCCTGCAGCAGGCAGTGTGGATGCAATCTGCTACGGTTGTACATACGTTGTCAGGCATTTCTCTGATTAACTGATACCTGACGCTGTTCCTATTTATTCGGCAGGCTGTTCCACAGCTTTCTCTGCAAAGTCAATAATGCAGACACATCTTACAGTTTCTATAGCTTCATGAACACAAGAATGCTAATTTTTATTATCAGAGATAGTCCTGCAAACTCCTACTACAGCTGTGTCTTCCTGTGCTCAAATTATACACTTTCTGAACTTGTCACTGTGTAGTCTGCCTAACAAAAATACTGAACCCCATACAGGGCACATCAGTTTATCGAGTTCACATTACTCCTTTAACCTTGCAGCTATATTAACAAACAAAAAAAATGTCCCAAACTGTTAAGGAGTAGCAAATAAGAGGAACGGACTTAAATTGTGGCATTTCAGTTAGAAAGCAGGAAACTTACTTGCTGTGAGCCTTCCATGAGTTTGGCGCTCCATAAATCTCTCAGACCTCGAGAGCCAGCATCAGTGCTGTGCAATGTGAATTGTACAAACCACATGATATTAGTACTTTTTTAGAAGTTACAGGACTTTATTAGACATTGGGGCTTTAAAACGTGGCTAGTGTGATATCTTACTTCTAACGTTAGGTAAGGCTACGTATTGGGTTGGCCTGGCCGGATTTTGGCGGCAAGTGGGGGAGCTGCAGGGTGGCTTCTTCCAAGAAGCTGCTAGAAGCTTCCCGAGTCTGATAGAGCCAATGCCAGCCGGCTCCAAAGAGGGACCCGCTGCTGGCCAAGGCTGAGCCTACCATCCCGCCCGGCCCACAAGGGGGCCCCTGCCGCTGGCCAAGGCTGAGCCTGTCAGTAAAGTGACAGGAGAGGAACACCTCTGTGAAAATAGATTTAAGAACAGGGAAAAAGAACTGTGCCACAACAGCTGGCACAGAGATGGAAGAGTGAGAATCTGTGAAGACACCAAGGTCAGTGAAGAAACAGGGGAGGGAGGATGAGGTCCAGGTGCCGGAGCAGAGTCCCCCACATCGTGGTGAAGACCATGGTGAAGTGTGTTGTCCCCCTGCAGCCCATGGGCTGGGTGTAGATGTCCACCATGAGGATCACTGACCACTGTGTGGA